ACCGTCCTTGACGGAAAATCGATTACGAACCAAGTCAATAGCTGTCATTGATTAGATGCATGGATGAGTCTATGAAAATTATATACTGATCACGATTAGTCAGTTGGCTGATTGTCGTCCATCAAATCATCCGAAGACCTGGACTTTGAGACCCTAATGATTCTTTCAAGAAAAATAATCAGTGTTGAGATTTGAAGAAAATCTATTTTTTGTGAGCTTTAGTGGGTTGTAGAGGATATTTTCGAGATAGTGCAAAATGATAGGCAACTTAACATCAATTCCATTTCTCATTATATTCCACAACCGTGCTGATTGATTTTTTTGAGGCTGATATCCAGCTACTTTCTTAACGAATGTAAAGGCAGATTTCTGTAACCTTAGTGAAAATAAAGCATTCTCGACAATGCATATATAAAAAGATATGAGAATAGAATGGATTGCAAGAATTCAAACCATTTTTCCACCTCATTCTGCTGGGATTTTTCTGAAATTGGATTTCCTTCATCCATTCATCAGTGAATAATCTATGAAATAAGATTTCAGGCATTCAATCTTAAAAATTTTTTTCAGAACATATTTTGTTTCATATATATATGTATATATAACCTATGACTGAAGCCAGCACAGACAATTCAAAACGTCGTTATGGCGCCCTTTAAGTTCAAAGAGTATGTTTGGCGCTGTCTATAGGGTCATTACAGTAATTATTATAATTGTTGGATCGTTCAAACGTTTCATTTCTTGAATAATTGCCAAAGGTAGCGAAGTCTTCATTAAAACTAAGACTGAGATGTTTTTTTCTTTCGCCAATGAATCAATTATTTGCTAGTTATTTCTCATGTCTTTCCAAGAAACGGTGCTATTACTGTCAGTTACTATGTGTATTTTTTGCAATCCTTTCTGACTTATTACCATCACCGCGAGCAATAAACACACGATAAAAAGAAAAAATCTGTGGAACTTACATTCTTTTCAATGCTAAATATGGGAAGATGCTACAAAGAAGACGTTCCTTTTTTGGAGTAGTTAAAGTATTGCTGGAAATCTCACAAATTTTTTTATCCCAGCTT